ATTGGATGAGCTTGGAAATAGGTGCGTAGCCGTCGAGCAGCCAACACCAAGCTTAGTATCAGCTTTTCCATGGGAGTGTATCGAGATTCTGCTCCTTGTAAAACCTTGCTCACAAAGTACACTGGGATTTCCTTTCTGTCTTTCTTCTGAATTAGGACCGCAGATATAGTTGTTTCCCGAGCAGCCAAGTAAATATACAGGACCTCCCCTGGCTCAGGTTTTGCTAACATAGGGAGCTATTTGAGGTGTTCGTTCAGGTCTTGGAAAGCTTGTTGGCATTTCTCGTTCCATTCAAATTTTCTCCCCTTTCTTAGTGTTTTAAAGAAGGGAAGGCTTCTTTCAGCTGCACGAGAAAGGAATCGGTTTAGCACGGCGAGAGAACCGGTAAATTTCTGAAATTCTTTAACCATCTTGGGAGCCTTCATAGTGAGGATCTTCTTGAACTTTATAGGATCCACGCTTATGCCGTCCTTGTAGACTTGAAAACCTAGGAATTTCCTTGAACCTACGCAAAAGGAACATTTCTTTGGATTGAGCTTCATTTTGATTTTACGGAGAATCGTGAAGATTTCTTTCATGTCCTCTACTATCTTGTCGTCGAGATTACTCTTGATGACCATATCATCTACATAGATCTCGATGTTACGTCTGATTTGCTCGTGGAAGGCTCTGTTGACCAACCGCTGATAAGTGGCTCCAGCATTCTTTAGTCCAAACGGCATTTTATCGTAGCAGTAGACTCCAATTTCAGTGATGTAAGCCATTTTTCAGCATCTTCTTAGGCCATAAAGATCTAATGATAACCCTTATAGGCGTCGAGGAAGCTGAGAGTTCTAAACCCGGTGATTCCTTCAACCATTTGATCAATGACCGGCAAAGGATAGAAATCCTTGGGGCAATACTTGTTGAGGTTGGTGTAATCTTGGCACATGTGCCAGGAGTTGTTCGGCTTTCAGACGAGGACTGGATTGGCTAACCAAGTTGGCCAAAAAACTTATCGAAGATTGTTGACACGAACTAACTTGAGCGTTTCCTCGTTGATCACGCCATTGCGGTCTCGAGCAAAGATTCTCTTTTTTCTGTTATACTGGTTTGACATTAGGATCTATGTTCAGCTTGTGCTCGATGACTTTTCGAGGAATTCCAGTCATATCAGATGGTGCCCAGGCAAAGATATCTCGGAATTCACATAGCAAGGCAATTACCTCGGACCGCAATGTTCCGTCTATAGATACTCCAAGTTGGATCGTCTTTTCCTGCTCCTTTTCATCCAAGACTAACTCCTCTGTTTTGCTGCTGAGTGGCGGTTGGTGAGGATGGTTGAGATCCATGGGTTGTCGTTCTTTCTTGGATTCAACTGATAAAACTCCTTGTTGGACTGAGTAACACCCCGATGTGGTGGTTTAACTCCAGATTTCACTGCCTTTTTCCCTGTTTTCACTGCCGTGAGGAGGTATTCTTGAGAACTGTGTTGGCACCCTTGTACTATCCCTATCCCATACTCCATTGGGAATTTCATTACCAAGTGGTAAGGTGACCAAACAACGCGGACTTGACACATCCACGGCCGTCCTAAAATTACATTAAACGGCGAGGGAGCATCAATTATGGCTAAATCCATGGGTAAGGTTACCATTCGAGGATGTGATCCTACCGTGATTGGAAACCTTAAGATTCCGCTGGGGATAATCGTGTGCGCAGAGAAGCCCAGTAATGGTAATGTAGCTAGACACCAATCAGGATTTTGTATGTTCATCTTCTTGAAACAGTCTCTATAGATGATGTCGAATGCGCTGCCGTTATCGACGTATACGCGGCTCACGTGAACGTTTCGAATAATGACTTCAATAACCATGGCGTCGCTATGTGGACAGATGCCTGGGACTACGTCACTGTCTCTAAAGACTATTGCCTCGGTTCCTTTGAACCATTTATGGCTGGGCTCTTGTGAGAGCATTTTAGTTACCTCTCAAACTAATGCCTTCATAGCTATTGTAGAAAGAACCTCGAGTGATGCACCATAGATTGTCCCCACATTGTGAGTAATCTGCTTAGCAGGATCGGGCGGAGGGACTTGTTGGAGTGGTTGAGGTCTACCGTCAAGGGGCTGCTGAGCGGATTGCTGCGTATTGTTTCTTGGTGTCCAGTTATTCCCCTGGTTATCCTCTCGAGGGCCTTGGGTGTCCTTCTTAGGAAAGTTACGGGGTCCCGTGAACTTTTCTCCCTTTTGTCGAGAAGCCTTCTGTACATACTGTTGAAATTTCCCAGACTTTACTCCAGCCTTGATTTCTCCTTTTAACTCCCTACAATCTTCAGTGTCATGGCCGTGGTCCTTATGATACTTGCAGTACTGATCTCGTCGGGGCTTCAACAGTAGAGTCAGCTGTCTGTCGAGTTTAAGAGTGTCAGCTTGGCTTCAATTGTAGACTTGATCATGTCCCTTCTGCCTTGATCTCCTGCTATCGAGAAGGATTTCTGTGAGGGTTTAAGTGTCTGTTCTCGCTGGCTGTAACTTTCCACTATGTCCCATATTTCTTGCGTATTCTGAGGAGATTTGATAGACAATTTCACCCTCAAAGTAGCAGATTTCCCAAGTGGGTTAAGACACTGAATAAATCCGTTTCGCACGTCTTTGTCATCGAGGCAATCAACTTGGAGAGTTTCTCGGGTGAAATGACGGTGGAAATCAGAAAGGCTCTCGTTTTGGCCTTGTTTAATCGAGGAAAGATCGATTGACATTCTTGTGATCTGCTTGCTTGGAAAGAAGCATGTGGCCAACTTGACTGACAAGTCCTCGAAGATAGTAATACTTACTTTCGGCAACTGCCCAAACCACCGTTGTGCCTGTCCAGCGAGATAGGATGGAAGGACTTTAGCCATGAAATCGAGCGATGCGTTTCGGATTCTCATGACTTGGACATCTCCATGCAGGAATTGCTGCAGGTCGGAGTCTCCTGAGTACTTTACGAAATCCTTGGGGAAGTCAAAGTTCTGGGGTTTTGGACAGTCACAAATCCTTGGTACAAATAGACTTTTGTCAACAATCATCCCTATCATTCTTCTCATTGATTCTCGAACGGACAGAACTGATTGCCATATTCCCCCTGACGTCGAGGGACATAAGGTTCTTCCTGGGGGCGCCACTCGGTGTGTCGAGGTTGAGGAGATTGTCGTGGGCCATAATGGTCGTCTGGGTAACGACCTCCACGAGAATAATTTGTGTCTCGAGGAGGTACCCAATATGCGTCATCATTATCAAGGTGGGATCTTTCCACAGGAACTCTGGGTCCCAGATGAGAATGCACATTAGCTTTTGGTGGGGGGGGGGGTTCAAGTATTTTCCAGACACCATCTCGATACTAGGTGAGTCGTGGCGATGATAGGTACGAGACTGTTTCCTGCGGTGTTGTTCCTTAGCAAACTCCTCGAGTGCTATCGGGAATGCAAGGTACGCTCGTTCAAAGGAACCCCAGAAGGTTGTGCTACGACCAATTGAGTGTTCTTCCCGAGAGATTTCGCGGTTAGAGGTCTCCCTGTAGGTGCCCTCGGTTTCCTCGCTCGGGACTTTGTGTTTGCCCTTTTTCTTCTCGAGCAAAGCCATTATCCTATGTGCCTCTTTCTCGTCAATGAAATCTTGCAATTCTTGATCTGTTGGGTCAGGTTGACCGAGCAAACAACGGCATCGGTATTCTTCTAACATGTACTTTTTCTTCCTCTGATTGAGACTGTTATCGTCTCGCAACTTTTTGAGTTCTGTTTCGATTTCAGCCAACCGTGCTTCATCACGTGGATTGGGTGCTTTGCAATGATTGCTAGGGTTCTCCTCCCTTTCTTCCCCAGGATTGGATGGTCTCGTGGGAGTTTTTTCTTTTCTTGACTGGCGGTTGTTTTTCTTTCGCATGTGCTTCTCTTGGAATTTCGCCAGGGTTTCGTTGTCATCAGGGCTTGGTCGCCTGCCTGTTGATGCCGTGCTGGATTGGGGATTGTTGATTACCGCCATCTTTTACGGGGGTGAACCCTAATTTGTTATGGTAATCAACGGTTGAGAAAGTCTAGGAAACTTGAGAAAGCTTTGTGACACAAACCCTAGTCTTCGGGTCCCATTGGACGTGTCACTTGACGAAGCCTAGAATTGTGTCGCCGGTTTTATAGCGGAACTTCGATAGGGTTTCCTGCAAAACAGAGCCTTGGGGGTCTCCCAAGGGTAGACACTTCGATGCTTAAGTCAGAAAATAGGATTATGAAGAAGTGTGTATGTGATTATTGGAGCTAGAGATACCGCACCGTAATTGTGGAATAATCATCCCAATTTATAGACATGGAATAACCTAAAAGATCTCTGAGTCCTATTAGATTTGGTGTTACTTAACCACCTCAGCAGAATCGGTTGGGCCTTTTACTCAGCGGATGGGCCAGTCTAGCCTCGGTGGTGGATATAGACTCGTCAATTAAAATTGAATTCAATGATTCATATAGGCAGAGTGCGCACGGAGGTTGGACTTTTGGAGCTGCCATACGTTAATTTGGAAGGCGAATTTTAGATCATTTAAAAAGTCTTTTCTTTTCATTTGGGGAGTTTTTATAGATTACATAACCAATTGTGTATTACGAGATTTTTAATATCAAATTGTGATCGGAAGTCGATCTTGCTCATCAACAGGTCATGCTTGTGTTAGGATTTGACTCTTTCATAGTACTCTTCCAAAAAGTATTGTCCAATTTGAATGTTTTCTTTTAGTTCAATTTATACTAAAAATAAAAATTTAAATTAGAGAATAATTTCAGGATGAAAGGAATATTAAAAAAAAGATACTTCAAATCTCTAGAGGAAACCAGTAGCTTTGAAATTAAATGACAGCCCAATGGCTAATAGACTTCGTTTGTAGCTAATCAATGGGATTCGACATATCACTATATCAGGACGAAGCTCACAATTACACAGTGAACTCATCACCGACCTATGTGTTATCGAGGAGCATTGCTTGCTGAGTGGTGCAGTACAGCAAAAAAGTAGGTTCCAAATTCTTCTGGATATGTTGCATTGCACCACAGTAATAGATATTAGCCCGTTGGAGGATGCATTGCGTGCCAGCTTAATGGTATATTGAATGATGATGATTAATGGAGTCCAAGATTTCTTTCCACTGCTCATCTGAAAAGGGTTTGGGACATGTGCGATTATTTGTTTCTTGCTCGATTTTATAGTTGAAATATGCTTTAACCACTTGAAGAAGTCTATTGAGGAAGAAATAGAAAACTGCTCGACCAATTGTTTGTTCCTTGATCAAAATTTGCAGTAGGTGACTCAGCATCACATACTGTAGTTTCGTTTCCATTGAAAATCCCCTCTCAAGTTCAAGTAATTCCGGTGTGGATGAATTGGCTGCATCTTGGCACAAGACTTTTCAGTCCACTGATGGGTTAGAAACTAGGAGGCGGCAACGTTTCAATTAACCTGTTTTTCCACATTTTCTTTGTCGACAACAAGGCAGTACGTGAAGAGATTACACATCATGATTCGTGACAATGAGATCCAAGTTTTTTTTCACCAAAAGTTATATTCCGCCATTCAGTGCTGATTTTGCCTCTTTTAGAGCTTTTAGGAACAAGAAGAAAAAAAGACAATGCAATTACAAAGCAAACTTTTCTGCATGCGTTGATTCCCGTAGTCTGTGGAACACAATCATACTTCTTTTACCAGCAAAACTATCATTGCATCACCCGTTAGAGGAAAAACCACCATGATTAGGCCTTAAAAATGAAGGTTTTTTCCTCCTTTCTATGGGTCCCCATAACCAAAACGCATGACTTTTGTGAAAGTTAAGAAACAGTCAACTTGAGGGGCATCATGGTCTGTACCATTTCCACAGTACAAATACGTCACAAAGGCTTCCTCAATTTGCCATTTCCTTCTGCTAAACATCAAAGATAGAAAGGCACTTTTCTCTCAATATCCTTCCATTTTTCCAGAAGTTTGTCCATCAAACACAAGATCATTTCCACAGTAGTCCGCAAATCATGAAATCGTGGAGAAATCTACAAAGTTACGACCACATTTACTGCTGATATTCACCAGAAATTGAGGTATCAAGCTGTCAACTTGTTCAAGTCCTGCAACAGGAAGATTCTTCAGGCTCTACTTATGGAGATGATAAGCAGCAGCTGCTGTTTCCTATGGTTGGTTCTCTTTCTCTGTTTCCCCTACGTGCACAGCTTCAACAATAGTCTGGGTGAATCTTTAGATGTTTTGCTCCATGATCACGCTTTCAAAACTTTGTTTCACGGGAGACCTCATACTGGTGCTCTATTCAATGCTACCCTCCCAGCCAATCTTGCTGGGATGAAGGTTACCGCCATTCGTATGAGAAGTCGAACCCTGTGGAGAATGGGCGCCAATTTGACAAATGTTAGCATCCCACCAAGGTCGCTTCCGGTCCCGTACGTGAGGAGACTGCTGATTGTCTATCATGACTTGGGCAATTGGTCTTCTATCTACAATGATGTACCAGGTTACACTTTACTGACTTCTGTTATAGGTATCATGATTTACAATGCATCAAACATGAACAGCACCAAACTAACAAAACTCGATCTTAAAGCTACAGAGAAGCCTATACTAATTCAATTTAATAGTTCCATAACACCTAGTGGTTCTAATCCTAGAGCAAAATGTACCACTTTTGATGCTTACGGGAGAGTTACAATGAGTGAGATGAGCTTGCCAAATGTATGCCAAACTAGAACTCTAGGGTATTTCTCTATTGAAACTCCATCCAAGCAGAGAAAAGTATGGATCTTTTGGGTCCTTGGCTTTGTGCTGGGATTCCTTTGCCTGGTCTTTGTGGTACTACTCATTGGAACAATACTTCTGAGGGCTTTAACAGTGAAAAGAACTAATGATATGGAGAGGGAAGCTGATGAAGGCGAGGTTCTACATACATTCTGGGTGAATAGCAGCAAAATGCCACGAGCAACAATAACAAGGACTCATCCGGACCTTGAGAATTTAGGCCGTCCATAAAAGCCATGTATTTTATATATGCTTCAACAGTGAGAATAAATCTTCCAATTACTTTCTTTATCTTTGTCTTAAATATACATAACCTAATCACTACGTCTCAATGTCCAAGCCACTTGATCATCCAAAACAACATCATCTCAGAGAAATTATTTCAAGGTGCCACAAATGAAAGCATTATTCACACAGTGAAAGGTCATGAAAAGAGTCACTTTCGTGTTTATATCAAAGTTAGCACAGCTGTACATGGTTACCTAAGAGAATCTTAATATCAACTAGGTGAATAGGAAAAATTATATCTCATGCTTCCAGCCAAGTTAACACCAGCTGTTTAATGGAGCATCTTTAGTTTTTTAATTCAACAAAGGAAAGGAAAATCGATCAGAAGCACGCTTAATCATCATCAATGAGAAAAGGGTAAAAAGATTTCCACTTTTCAAACCTATACCCAAAACAACTGTGACATGAAAACAAAGATACCAAGGACCTATTATTAACTGCAAAAATAGCAGACAAAGCAAGTTCAACATCTTTCTAGACCTAAGGATCCTCAGGATAAGATACAACTCAAATTCAACTTAATCCCCTGAAAATAGAGACACAATGTATACCAATGGCAAATAAGCTACTAAAAGTACCAAAATGCAGTCTGGATCTTCAAATACTGCCTACAATTATACTACGGCCCCACGAGCAATCTTTGCCCACTCGGTATGATATGATCCTGGACGGTCAATCCTCTCATAGGTATGTGCCCCGAAGTAATCCCTCTGAGCCTGAACAAGGTTTGCAGGGAGCCTTCCACGCCTGTAAGTATCAAAATACTGCAAACTAGCTGACATTCCGGGCACGCTAATCCCCTTCTGAACAGCCAATCCCACCACTCGCCTCCAAGCCGCCTGCCTTTGCACCATCTCCCTGGCAAACTCAGGGTCCACCAACAAATTCGCCAACGCCGGATTCCTCTGATAAGCCTTCTTGATCCTATCCAAAAAGACAGCCCTGATAATACATCCTCCTTTCCAAATCCTCGCCAACTCCCCCAAGTTCAAGTTCCAACCTTTCTCCAAACTCTTAGCCCGCAACAAGTTCATCCCTTGCGCATAACTACATATCTTGGACGCATACAATGCCTGTCTCACATCATCAATCAATCTCTTCTTATCCACGACACCAACATTATTAATGCTCTCCTCCTTCAGACCTTCACTCCTGAAAACATCTGCTGCCGCCTCTCTTTCGTCCTTCAACCCACTCAAATATCTACTATCAAGCGAAGCAGCAATAGTTGGAGCAGCAATTGAAAGCTCAGCAGCTTGCTGAACGGTCCATTTCCCAGTCCCTTTCATCCCCGTTTTATCCAAAATCTTATCGACTAATTCCCCATGCCCAGATTCAGAATCTTTCACCTGAAAGATATCCGCAGTGATTTCAATCAAGAAGCTCTCGAGCTCACCCCTGTTCCACTCAGCAAAAATATCAGCCAACTCGGAATTAGTCAACCCGCCAGCATTTTTCAACACATCATAAGCTTCAGAAATCAACTGCATGTCACCGTATTCAATTCCATTGTGAACCATCTTCACGAAATTACCCGACCCACCTTCCCCGATGTAAGTGACACACGGGCCGTCCTCCACTTGAGCCGCCACTTTCTCAAGAATATCCTTGATATTCAAATAAGCTTCGTGGGACCCGCCGGGCATCAGAGACGGCCCGTACCGGGCACCTTCCTCCCCGCCGGAGACGCCCATGCCGAGATAAAGCAGCCCTTTGGAATTGGCCTCGACAATCCGACGCTCAGTATTCTCGTACCACTCGTTGCCGCCATCGATGATGGTGTCGCCGGGCTCCATATGAGCGGATAAGGCGGCGATGGTCTGGTCAACGGGCGCCCCGGCTTTGACCAAGATGATAACGGATCTAGGCTTCTGAAGGGAGAGGACGAAATCTCTAGGATTGTATTTGCCGAAGAGAGGCAACTGGCCCTCACGTTCAGCCCGATCTACGGTCTCGTCAACCTTGGAAGTGGTCCGGTTGTAGACGGAGATGGGGAAACCTTTCTCGGCGATGTTGAGGGCCAAATTCTGGCCCATGACAGCAAGGCCCGCCAAGCCAATACGGGAAAGCGCATCAGTAGCCGCCATGACTGATCACAGAGAAAGTTGGTGAAAATGGGGGAAAAAGGGGAAGTAGGTGAAATGGGGTGGGAAGAAGGTGATGATGATGGGGGAGAATAATATAGAAGTACAGCGGGGGCGCGTGGGTCGCGTGGCGAGGGAAGAGAGTTTGGACGGACTCGTCGAGGTAGTGAAAGGGTAGTGACAATTAACCAAAAAAAAAAGGGTAGTGACTGAAACTGAGAACGAGAGGCTGTTTTTCTTGTACTCTGGAGGATACTGAGGAAGGGACGATGATTCCTAGGGGGGAAAAGCTATGAAACGGCGTCGTACTTCAGTGTTGGACTTCTGTTAGGTAACTGCCAAAGTGGAAAATATCTTTTGGTGGAAAAAGATTGGATTTTATAATACTCGCACTAGATATTTAGGTGGCAAAAGAGAGAGAATGAACATCACAAAAAAATATATAGTATATATATTAACAAAAATTATTGTCCAGTTTGATATTTCATTTTTATTACCATTCAAACTAAAAATGAAAAATCTAAAATAAACAATAATTTCAGAAGGAGGGGACATTTCATACAAGTATAATGTAACTTAAGAACTGAAAACTCCTCCAATAATTATTATAAGACATTTTGATTTATTATAAATTTTCTTTGGTACATGTCCTTTCACTTGGAAATAAAATCTAAAGAATATTTAGTATAAAAATATATTTTTAACATTTTATTCTCAATTAAAAAGAACATACTAAATGATATATAGGATAAATTGAAACACTTAGTAATAAGAACCTAAGGAGTAATATTTATTGGTTTGAAGAGGGGAAAAAAAACCTTACTGTTTATTTATTTATTTATTTAAGACTTAAGTGATACTGCTTTTCTTTCTTCTTTTATCTAGAATTGTTACTAGTTCTTAAAATTGAGTGATACATTATGATATGTGGTTAGACTTCAAGAAAATTAAATACTACCAATTTTAAATAGCCAAGATACAACTGTAAATAAAATCATTTCAATTTAAAATTATACATTATGAATCACCTCTTCTTGTCATTTTTAACTGTTGTCTTTTTTTTTTGTCAAAATCGATCTTCATTTGATAACATAAAAGCAGAAGTACAATAGCTCAAACAGAGCTATTACAATTTGCCCTAAACGCCTTATCTAACCACAATGGAGAGTTAGTTTCCTAACATTGTGAACAATTGTCAGATAAGGCTAATTTGGCAAGACTGTGAACACAAGAGTTCTATTGTTTCCTAAGAAACGAGAATTTACAAGTAAAAAAATAAGATTTTAACAAATAGATGTCGTCAACTATAGCTAGAACATCTGAAGTAGGAGCACTTTTCCCCTGTAACCAAGTGGCCATAGTCTTCACATCTACTTGTATTTCTACATGCTGCAACTTACGGTGCTGGGCCTCAAAAATAGCTGCTCTCACAGCTTCAGCTTCTACTGTACAGTCATTTGATATACATGGCAGAAAAACTGACTTCGCAACCACCAATTCACCCTGTGCATTCCTAATAGTAAACCCCAACCCAGCACAACCCTTTTGTTTGTGAAATTCAGAGCCAATATTAACTTTGAACATACCTCTACATGGCTTAGTCCACCCTTGTACGGCCATTGTATTAGCCGGCGGTGCTAGCTATGGCTCACCCTTCCTTTGCAATTGCATGTACTCTAGTCACTCATGTGTAGCTTTTTGCACCACCTCCCAAGGCTCAATTTTAATACCATTAAATAGCCAAGAGTTCTGAGCTTTCCAAATATGCCAAAAAAGATAAACAGAAAGTTCAACTCTAGCTTGGAACCCCTCATCAAAGTTAGCTTCACACAGCGAGTCCCACCAGGCAAAAAAAGAGAAAACATGATGTTCCGTGTTATCCCACTGCACAGGAGCTAAATGCCATACAAGTTCAGCCTCACTACATTGAAATAGAAGGTGCTCTACTGATTCGGTCCCAATACCACAACGTGGACAAATATCCTCCACCATCACACCCCTTCTCCCCAAAATCAAACGAACCGAGAGCCAATTCCTATAAAGTCTCCACAAAAAGTGCTTCAACTTAGGCTTTATGGGCAGCTTCCAAGTTCTGGACCATGTTCACTTGGCTCGATCCGTAGAAGAACTGGATTCTGGAACTTCCCCGTCATTAGCTTTCAATTCCAGTGCTAGCTTATAAGCCGAAGAAATAGTGAATTTACCATTCTTTTCTTCTCCCCAGATCAACCTATCCCAGCACCATAATGGCTTAAAGGAGTTTGGCGAATTTTAAGAGCATCAACTGGAACAAAGACCTGGCTAAGGAGATCAACCTTCTAACTTCTAGGAACTGGATCAATAAGATCAGAAACCATTTGAACCTGCTGACATCCTTGATGCTGCACACCAGGCTTAACCACACCAAAAGGACCCCAATTATCCCTCCAAATATCAACCGACTGGCCATTGCCAATCTGCCATTTCATACCACGTTGGATGATTTATTACCCCTAACCAACCTTTCCGTAACCAGGAATCAGAACCCTTCATTTCTACATCAAATATCGAACAATGAGGGAAGTACTTGCTCTTCATCACCTTAGCCACAAGAGAGTGTGGCTCAAGAATTAATTTCCACACCTGCTTAGCAAGTAAGGCATCATTCTCTGCACTTAGACTTTTGAATCCCAAGCCTCCCTTCTCTTTGCTAAGAGTAATTTTATCCCAAGAACCCCAGTGAATTTTATGTTTCCCATCTTCTTCTCCCCACCAACAATCTGCCATGTTTTGATCAATTCTCTTACACAAACCCAACGGAAGTTTATAGCAAGACATTGAATAAATTGGCATTGCCTGAACAACAGATTTAAGCAAAACTTCCTTACTGGCTGTTGAAAGCAACTTATTTTTCCAATTGCTGATTTTTGTGGTGACCGCTTCCTCCACATAGCGAAATACCTCTGATTTGGCCGGTCCAATCACCAGGGGAAGACCCAAATATTTGGCTTTTGTCTGTACCTTCACACCCTCCAGCTCAGCACAAATCTGGTTTCGCATTGCACTCTGTGTGTTTTTGCTGAAGAAAATGGAGGACTTGTCCCAATTAACTTTTTGCCCAGAACAGGTGCCATAATCCTACAAAATTTTCTTGATGCATCTCACTTGAGCCAACTCAGCTTTACAAAAAAGGAGGACATCATCAGCAAAGAATAAATGTGTTATTTCCAGCCCATGTGCACTAATTTGCATCCCATTGAGCTCAGCCTGATGCACGGACAACCTGATAAAATTTGAAAAGGCCTCGGAACAAATAAAAAACAAATATGGAGATAAGGGATCTCTTTGTCTAATCCCCCTCCCTGGCTTAAGAAAGCCCTTTGGGACACCATTAATATTAAATGAGAATGATGCTGATTGTATACATTCCATAATCCAAGCCACAAAAAGCAGATCAAAACCCATTCTAACCATGATATTAGCCAAAAATCACCACTCCACTCTATCATATGCCTTCGCCATATCCAGTTTAATTACCATGTACTTATTACTACCTTGTCGCAAATTATTAAGGTGGTGAACATATTCATGCGCAATAACTACATTATCTAAAATTTGCCTGCCCGCTAGGAGAGCTGATTGATTCTCACTAATACAGGAGGGCAGCAGTGGTTTTAATCGTTCAACCAAAATTTTTGAAATAACCTTGTAAATGATAGAACACAAGCTAATAGGCCTATACTGGAAAACTTTAGTATGATGGGATAATTTAGGTATAAAAGAGATTAGGGTATGATTAAAAGATTTTAACATATGACCAGATGAGAAAAAACTCTTCATAGCCAAGCACACATCATGACTAACAATAGACCAAAAAGTTTGGAAAAACAAAGGCGTCACACCATCCATACCTGGAGCTTTATGGGGATTCAAATTAAAGATAGCTCTCTTAACTTCGCCAACGTCAATTGGTTTGATCAACGTTGAATTCATTTGGGTATTAATAGCAGTAGGCACCGAATTCAGCAACTGCTCCCACCCCATGGTATCCTCTGATGTGACTAAATTCTCATAAAACCTTGTGATTTCAGCTTCTATTTCCTGCTTAGTCTCACACCATTCGCCCCTTGCAGTTTCCAAACCATCAATACGATTCACTTTCCTCCTCTGAAGGGTACTAGCATGGAAATACTTTGAATTTTTATCACCTTCTGTTAGCCACAAATTCCTACTTTTTTGCTGCCAGTACTTCTCCTCCTGTGCATAAGTAGAGGCTAGTCTGTCCTTAAGCAGATTCCATCGACCCCAATCTCTACTACCCCCCAACTCCTTCAGCCTGTCCATTTCTAAATTAAGTTGCTGGATTTCCTTTGCCGAATTAGTAGCCTGCTCCCTGCTCCACTTAAGTAATGCAACCCGACACAATTAGATCTTAAGAGAAACTATATACATCGGTGAACCGTGATAGGGAGATGTCCATGCCTGTCTAACCACATCTGCTACACCATCCTTTTTCAACCACCATTTATCAAAACAAAACCTTACTTTGCGTTGCTTTTGAGCTGGTTTGGTATCCAAGAGTAACATGCAATGATCTGAAGAGTGCCGATCAATATGTTGGACCAATGCACCACCATTCGCCAAAAGCCACTGAGAAGATCTGAAAATTCTATCTAGTTTTTTCTCAATAAACCCTTCACCCTCCCTGTTGTTCGCCCAAGTCCAAAACCTACCATAAGAAGGAATTTCTCCCATATTCATGCTATGAATAAAACTTCTAAAATTGTAAAAACTTCCTTCACATCTTGCTCTACCACCTTTCTTTTCCTCCACACATGTAATATCATTAAAATCCCCACCCAAAATCCAAGTATCACCCCAGTTTTGCTTCCTGCGGATCATCTCCTCCAACTGACACTTGCGCGTACCCTCATCAGTACTAGCATGCACAAAAATAGCCCATTCACAACCCACAGAATCTTGAGTTCGAAACTCTACCTCTATACAAAATGAAGAAACTATCAAATTACAGATAGTAACACCCTCCGCCCAACCAAAAGCCATTCTGCCACTAAGTCCCAGTGGTTCAATCACATGCCATCTACCTCTGAACCCTATTTTACGCCCAACAGTATTTACAAAACCCTTTTTACGTTTTGTTTCACAAAGAAAAACTAAAGATGGTTTATGGAGTCGACATGATTCCCTTAGTTGTGAAACTGTAGAAGAGCTGCCAAGTCCCCTACAGTTCCACATAATGGTCTTCATCCGGTAATATGGGACCTTTTAGGGCTGGTTTCCCCCACCCGTTGAGTTTTTTGATGTACGGATTTTCCTTTCTTAATCTGTAACTGTGCATGGTCCGCCACAATTTCTTCTTGACCATCCTCTCTCCCTCGTTTACCATCGAGTACAAGCCTGGAACTTCCAATGTCAATCCTACTCGAATCCTTCAGCGCAAGAACCATTCTAGCCCTGCGCTTCCATTGCCCTTTATGCATCACCAAACGTGTGTCTCCTATCCCGT